CACAGGGACTGGGGCAGGGGCGCGGGGACTGGGAGCAGGGACTGGGGCGGTGGGCGCGGGGACTGGGGCAGGGGCGAGGGGACTGGGGCGGTGGGCACAGGGACTGGGGCAGGGGCGCGAGGACTGGGAGCAGGGACTGGGGCAGGGGCGAGGGGACTGGGGCAGTGAGCACGGGGCCTGGGGCAGGGGGAACGGCGACTATCCCCCATGAGGCCAGGGATCTGGAGCAATGGGGATAGTCAATGGGACAAGGGACTGGTGCAGTGTGAACGGCAACTGGAGCAGTGGGGCTGGATACTGGACCCATGGGGCCAGGGGACTGGAGCAGTTTTGCTGGAGCGATGGGGCCGGGGACTGCAGTGGTGGAAGCTAGATAGTGGACCCATGGGGCCGGGGACTGCAGTGGTGGAAGCTAGATAGTGGACCCATGAGGGTGGCGAGTGGAGAGAGGGGCATGTGTACTGGAGCGATAAGGATGGTTTCTAGAGCAATGGGATGACGGAGGGGCCCAGGGGGATTCCCCCGCCCTTCCCTGCAGCGCTGCAGGCGCTCTCCTCTGCTGGGAACTGGGCTCTTCTCCCCAGGCTCAGCTCTCCCCTCCTACACAGCTCCAGAAATACTGACAGGCAGGCAGATTCATCGTAAATCTCAATGGTGCTGTTTATACAGCTCCTAAACAACTGGCTTCTCCCCCTCATTCCTTCTATGGTTATTTGCGCGCAATCCGGAGAGCTCTGCTCGAGCATCTGCAGCCTCGCCGCTGCAATGGTGTGTCTGCTGGCTTTGGCCAGCCACCCGCTGAGCCCCGGTCACCTGCACCGCCAGCGCTGTCGGAGCCGGCCGCTCTGCTGGTAGCGGACCGGGGGCTGGCTGAAGCCCCTCCGCATGCGGAGGAACTACTCGTGGCACTCGCAGTTGGGTTTGGCGGCCTTTTTCACATGTGCTTTGGGCTCCTTGGTCCCAGGGCTCTTTGCCGAGCTTAATTTGTCCTGACTGCAGGATGTAAAGAGCATTGGACAAGGGCAGGGTAAAGTTCTAGAAGTCTCTGAAGTAACTCATAATTTGATTATGAGGAAGGGGGTTTCTTGGTTTATTTAGAGCTGTACTTATGCATAAAGCTGCCCTTTTCTAGAGGAGCGTTACACCTGCTTCTTTTTTGGTTACTCTCACTTTTGTTTGAGCACAAATGAGTCTGGACTTTTTGAGCTGTCACAGTTTGTATCAGCCTTGAAGAACCTTCACGATAGTCCTGCTGTTTACAGGGGACTTGGGGCTTTAGCTGAGCGCTGCGTAGCATTTCAGTTTTTCTACTTGTTCTCGGTTATACCCCTGTTGCCACTTTTTGCTGTGCCTCAGGAGATATGAGACTCAGAGAGCAGAGCTAGACGTTGCTCGGTAGGGTTTCATATTTGCTGATGTGATATTTAATCTTTCAAAGCTGTGGGATGATTTATAACAGGATTATTTGCATCTCTTTTTTTTTATTGTCAGGGAAGACCAAAGATCATCCCTTATATTTTTGCAGTAAGGGCTTTATATAAGAGCAGAAGGAACACATGGTGGTTTTAATGTTTATTATACAACCCTATCAAAGGGCCTCATGGTCCCAGCCAGTACAGGTGCGTGTGGTGCCAGGTGTGGGATCTGGCCTTTGTCCTTGCAAATCACACATCCCTTTTGTTTCTTCCTATCTCAAGGTCTGTCATTACAACATCTGTTATTATTAGCCTAGGTCAGGGGAAGTACATGCTTTTAACAGCTCCTAATACAAACTCCTGTTACCCAGGAGGACACAGCACTCTCCTGCAGGAACGGGCATTCCCTCGCTCGTTCCGGATCTGTGCCTCCAGGTAAACATGGGGTTTGAGCAGCCCCATCCCGCGTGGGGCCAGCCAGCCCCAGCAGTCCCACACTTGGATAATGCCCAGCCCGAGACCTCCCCCACCTTCCTTTTGCCAGGACCTAAAGAGGTCTTCTCTTTACCCAGCATCTTTACTTTCCTAGCACGGCTGCATGGGAGCTGGTGAACGATAATGCCAGAGCTGACAGCCAAGCGCAGTGCCTGCGCCCACGCTGGTTGCATTCAGCTTCACCCCGTGGGCAGCTGCAGCTTGCTTTTTGAGACAACAGCAGACCCCTTTAACCTCAAACGTTGGCAGCTGCCAACATCTGTGATGATACATGCAATCCGACGGAGGAGGAGGAGGCAGTTGCAACCCCAGCGGAGCATTTCTTTGGCCCCCTATCCCCATGGGAGCCTCTCACCCCTCTCCAGCAGCAGGGAGGACTCGCTGCCTTGCTTGCAGAAGGCTTCCCCAGCAGCCTGGAAGAGGTTTGTAGTGCTAGGGACCTTCCCTTCCACCAACACAAGACATTTTTTGTTTGGATACGTGGCGTGCCTCAGCAGTATCATAGCCCAGCTCACATAATGAGCTACATTTTCTGCAGTTGAAAAACAGCTGACACACATCCAGTTCCTATAAAAGGCTGGATGAGAGGCTGCAGTGCCTTGGGTGTGGTTCTCCAATGCCGCGTGTGTTGCCTTGTAATGACGATCCTAAGATATTCCTTAAAAAGACCTATTTGTAAAAGTCCAGCAGGCCGCAGCGTGATTCTGTTTCAGCTTTTCCATGTGGGTTTTGTTAAAATGAAAGATAATACAGCATAGCAACAAAGCTAGAGGCCAAGGGGAAAACATGATAGCCTTAAGTATGTGCGTCTTCACAAGTCCAATTCCTCTCCCTGTTCATGTAAGATTCTGTGAAAACTTCTGAAAATATCTGCCCCTTACCAAGAGTGTTGCTTTGCATTTAAAACCACCTGCAACAGACTGCAGATGTTTGACTGTGCTAATGCCTTGTGTGAGACGAGAGGCTCTCTTTAAGAGATAAAACAGTCCGCATGATAGCAGGCAGATCTAACCCACCCTCTGCCTTCCACGGGCATCTCTTTACTCAAAGGCTCTTACCCTTTTCCCCAGCCATGTATCCGAGACACCTGGTCCGCTGGTGGAGGGGAGAAGGGAGGAGGAGGGGTTAATTTTTCAAAAGAGCAGCAGCACTTTGAGCAGGAGGTGCAGTAGGTGCCCTCCTTCCAAATACACCTTATTCTCTGTCTCCTGGGATAAGCCTTATCCCCTCTCCGTAGGCACAGGGAGAGACTGTTGTACCCAGCTGCACTGGGTGGGAAGAAGGTCACTTCCGCACCTATTTGGATCTGCTTGGATAAAGGAAATCCTCCGTCTCTAAAGAATATAAATGCTTTTCCCGCAGCAGTTGTTCTTATATCCTTAAACCAGCCCTGTAAGATATAAAACAAAACATGGTTCTCATTTCGCTGGAAAAAGCCAGAACCAGTTCTTGCCTACATCTCGGAGAGCCAGAGGATACCAGAGAAAACAGCCAAAAAAGAGGCTAATTTAGCACCACAACCCTCACATCTCAAACCCTCCTCCAGAATCTCAGGGATTTTGCAGAGGGAAAGAAAACATAGTCTCCTGCTTCTTCTCCACTTATAATTAGACCCGTTGGTTAATGATCAAATAAAATACCAATTGTGAGGAAATCCTACAACAGAAATGACTCCATGTACCCGCTAACCTAGGAAGAGCACAACAAGGAGTTCATGTAAGACACGAAGGCATTCAAATAACCAGCTTTCTACAGGGTAACATGGCTGTGCAGCCTGCAGCAGCCACTCTGTCCCAGATAATGCAGGTTTTTAGCTGCACAGAAGCAAAATCACCCTTAAGTTGGGTGGTTTTCCCCAGAACCTTATTTCCTGAATTCCTTTTAGCAAGGCAGAAACCAGGGACGTGCAGTTGGCTTCTCTGGTGGTGGGGACATCCTGGGCTGGAGATCTCCATTGTGGGGCTGACAACAATATATCCTGGCTGTTTTCTCTTCCCTTGGGTTTGGGTGTTGGGTTTTTTTTTCCTCTTCCCCTTCTTGGGATCAGGGGTCTGGGCTGGGGGGCTGCTTGACCGGGTCCGGGAGAGCATGCTGGGCATGCTGCACCTATAGGCAGCTCCATGGTGGAAATGACTTCCCTTTCAGATGCTGCTCTGCTGTTTGCTGGGTTCCACAGAGGAAAGCTGGATGCTGCCAGGAGGTAATGTCTCTCCTAAGAGGGCTTAGCCTTAAACACACCTCCTCACCCCTGTATCAGAAGTCAGTTCCTTAGCCACCGCTGACCTCAGGCTGTTTCTAAAACAAAGCACGTCTGTAAAACAGACCATCTTGGCCTCTTCTGGTCCTGGCTGAAACTCTGATCACAGGGCAGTGAAAACCCTTTGCCAAAAAATTGTCCCACTGTCCACATTCCCGCTGTCCTCTGCCCTCACCCTTACTCCAGAGCCTTGCAAAACCCGACAGTGAATACAGTCCCTGTTGTCTAAAGGCCAAAGCTTTCAGTCTGGCTCTGCAAACCAGCTCTGAGCGCTGGTCCCGTTCAAATAACGCCCCGTCACAAAGTGTGTTGGAGGCAGGCGGGTTGTTCTCGAGCTCTCTCATGCCCCCGATCAGTGCGGTGCGTGTTGCAGTCTCTGTAGTGAAGAAGCTAAGGCAAAAGGTCTGTAAAAAAAGTTGGAGAAGACCCAGAGAACAGCAGCCAAAATGATCAAGAGCTTGCAAGGAGAGACTGAAAAGTTTGGGAGCCTTCAGGTTGGAGAGGAGGGGCTGGGAAAGGGGATGGGATGGAGGTTTTCAAAGTCGTGAAGGTGATGCATAAGGCAGGTGCCGAGCCCATATTCACTCTGTCCTGGTTTCAGCTGGGATGTAGTTAACTGTCTTCCTAGTAGCTGGTACAGTGCTGTGTTTTGAGTTCAGTATGTGAAGAATGTTGATAACACTGATGTTTTCAGTTCTTGCTCAGTAGTGTTTAGACTATAGTCAAGGATTTTTCAGCTTCTCATGCCCAGCCAGGGCACCTGACCCAAACTGGCCAACGGTGTATTCCATACCATGGGACGTCCCATCTAGTTTAGGAACTGGGAAGTGGGGGGGCAGGGAATCGCCGCTTGGGGACTGGCTGGGTGTCGGTCGGCGGGTGGTGAGCAATTGCCCTGCGCATCATCTGTACATTTCAATCCTTTTATTACTACTGTTGTCATTTTATTAGTGTTATCATTATCATTATTAGTTTCTTCTTTTCTGTTCTATTAAACCGTTCTTATCTCAACCCAGGAGTTTTACTTCTTCTCCTGATTTTCTCCCCCATCCCACTGGATGGCGGGGAGTGAGTGAGCGGCTGCGTGGTGCTTAGTTGCTGGCTGGGGTTAAACCACGACACACTCCATGCCACAAGAGTCAGGGCTGCTTGAGAAAGCAATGAAATGTGTTAAACCTGAGAAGGGAAAGTACTTGTGTAGGCGTTTGGGTGTTGAACATGTGGCTCCTGCTACCCTGGGAAGCTGCGAAGGTGGTTGCTAAATACAAATGGGCAATTTCATGGCCAGCAGATGCAGAAATAAATACTAAAGGGACGAGGCAGGGCTGTACCTGCTAGCATCATAAAGCTGCAGCAGACAGGAAGGGCTGCAGAAAGTGGCCAGGCACTCTTGTCCCTCCCAATAATTGCTGCACCTATGCTGGTCTTGATGCTGTTGGATATCAGTGGTCTTTGTGTCTTTTTTTAATCACTGTGGTAAATTGGTGCTGAACACAGATGTGGTCGTGATGGTTTCCCCAAGCTGCGCTGTTAGGAGCAGCATGGGCTGCTGTACAGCAACCCCTGTGCTGAAGATGCAGAGATGCCGGTGCTGTGGGGACACGTGGAGAAGGTTGGGGGCTCTCCCTTCGCTGTGCTGAGCACCCTTCACCTTTCCCAGCCCCTGCGTGGCAGATGCTGATGGTGCTTTTCACAGTGTCCTTCACAGGCCCATCCACCATGCCGAGAGCGGCCGTCCCAAGAGCACGTCACTGCAGAAGCAGCTCATCCCTCGTGCTGGTTTGAAAGAGCTTGCAGGTCTTTACCATGTTAACATGGCCACAGGCAACCATCGCAGTCTGTGAGTATGAAAAGGGACTTGTGTGGGGCTTACATCAGCCGTGGGTGTCCTTGGAGAGCATATGCTTGCAGCATTTCTGTGCTCTCCTTGCATCCCTGCTCCGGGCTGCGGCAGTGTCGGTAAAGGCGTGCGCTCTGGGGAGCCGTCCTGGCAGGTGCCTCCTTCCTCCCAGTGCTGCAGCATCACCATACCTGGGTACCACCATCACCTCTTATAAGCAGCTCTCCTCCACTGCTTGCCTGAGGATTGCTTCCCTGTGAGCCACTTCTCTGCTCTCGGACCATGGGGTACCTTCAGGTACCCTTCCCTGAGCTTCTGAGCCTCTCCTCCATCATCTTTCCTCTTTTCTTAGAAAGACTTTGCTTTTGGCATCTGTTCCTGTAGCTTGTTCCCTCTTCAGCAACCAGCATAACCTTTTAAACGTGCTAAAAGCAGCTCCAGGATGACAGTTCTGGAGGATTTGGGGGCTGGAGATACTAGACACGACCTTCCACTTGCAAAGTTCTTTTATGCCAGCGCTGCTACGACGGGATTCTCATGCCTGGGTTTTGTACAGCCAAGGGTTTGTTTCAGAGTCACACTTGCAGGCTGACCCCCACATTAGCTTCAATTTCCCCTGGGGAAACCATAAAACATTTTCAAGACAACGGCTCTTATGTAAAGGCCTGCTACACGGCAGTTGCAGCAGAGAGCCGTTGCATTACTCAGAGGTGCCAGGAAACATGACTACATGATGAATTAGCACCTTCCAGATGCGTAAGGTCACTGGGCGCCTAGCTAAGTGGGAACATCAGTTTTGCAGGGCTTAACCCTCTCTTGAGAGGATGGTGAGGCTGAGGCTGAATATGCCTGTAGGTTTTAACAGCTTTTAGAAAGGTGAGCTCTCAGACACCAGTTATTTAGCAGCCAGGACTACATAGTCCCAACAAAATGCATTTCAGAGCTTGTTTTCCGAGCAATGCTGTTACTTTCAGGTGCCAAGGGAGCTGAACAAGATCCAGGGGTGAAGCTGCACTGATTATGGTCCCCACTAGCAACTCCTAGTGTGCAGAAAACCCCAAAAAGTCCAGTTTCCCATCATTGTCATTCCAAAGGGCAAGGAATTGTCTTAACCAGCTAAGAAGCATTTATGTACCACACCAACAGAAATGTTACCGTTTTTATCTTAACAGAAAGGAAATCAGATATGTGGCATGACGTGCTTTGGGAAGTCATGTGCCAAAACTTGGTAACTTGTGCCAAAAAAAAGGATGTACAAGCAGATTAAATTGTTCTTTGGCTTTTGCTTTAAAACTAACCCATCCTGCTTTGGCATCTCTCCTGTTGCCAGACCTGTTGCTGATTTTGCAGGGGTCCTCTGCAGTGGTGGAAATCGCAGAAAGAAGAGTTGCAGCTGAAGGGTCCTCCATAATGATGCATGCACCAGATATCAAGAACGTAAACTTCACTGAGTGGGAATACATAAGAAACACCACACTTGAAGTCATCCTGCAGTACTATGCAGATTACCCATCTCCAACCATTTATGCAGCTTACCAAGGCAGAGTGGTCTTCTTTCCAAAGAATGGCTCAATTCTCCTGCAGAGGTTACGAGAGACAGACAGTGGCATCTATAAAGCAACAGTAGATCTGATGCAGGATAAAGCTTGGACAACCCTCCTTGAAGTTATCAGTAAGTCAAATGTGTTGAGAGGATCGTTATTCTCAGACCAAGATTTCCCAGTCAGTGCAGCAGACAGGTCCACAAGGTGGTAACCAGAACAAGAGTCAGAGAATCACAGAATATCTCGAGTTGGAAGGGACCTCTAAGGATCATCGAGTCCAACACCCTGCTCCTCGCAGGACTGCCTAACATAAACCATATGACCAAGAGCGTCGTCCAGATGCAAATGGAACTCTGACAGGCTTGGTGCCATGACCACTTCCCTGGGGAGCCTGTTCCAGTGACCAGCCCCCCTCTCAGGGAAGAACCTTTTCCTAATGTCTGATTTGAACTTCCCCTGATGCAGCTTCATTCCATTCCCTCGCGTCTTATCGCTGGTCACCAGGGAGAGGAGATCAGCACCTCCCTTTCCGCTGCCCGCCTTGAGGAAGGTGTAGACTGCAGTTGAGGTCACCCCTGAGTGATGAGGTCAACCTTCAGCCTTCTCTTCTCCAGGCTGAACAAGCCAAGTAATTTCAGCCGCTCCTTGTAAGCCTTGCCCTCAAGGCCTTTCACCATCTTGGTTGCCCTCCTCTGGACACACTCTCGTAGTTTGATGTCCTTCTTGTGTTGAGGTGCCCAAAACTGCACACAGTAGTCGAGGTAGAGTGGGACAGTCACCTCCCTTGACCAGCTAGCTATGCTGTGCTTGATGCACCCCAGGACACGGTTGGCCCTTTTGGCTGCCAGGGCACACTGTTCACTCA